GGTGTCGAATCAGTAACACTATGTTGGCGTCAGGTCCGGACGGTTAAAAGAGATTTTGAACACTATCAAAACTGAACTTGTAACTTGACTTAATAACTTTTCATTAGAAACTATACGACGATTTTTTTACAGTTATGCGTGATTTTGGAGCCGATGCAGGAACTGATGTCGAGGCACAAGGCGTATGCGTTGTCACCTCGTGATTGTCTGAAGACGACCTTGTTCCAGAAATGGCAGAGGATAGTTGCCCCGCCGGGTAAGAGAGGTAGACGAACAGTTGCTTTACATGAGAAGCACCAGCCAGTGAAGCCGAACGGCCATTCGATCCTAATAGACAACGTGAAATCAGTTTTTGCTATCCGCGGAACGACGCACAGTTCGTTGTTGATTTTCTTTACCGCTTTATCGGGATTCTTGGTTCCACCGGTTTTTTCTTATCGAGGGTGAAACTTAATGATTTTATTCGAAATTTTCTAGCAATTAGATGGACTTTTCTATTAATAGTCTTGTGTCGCTTGCTTCATTGATCGAATTTAATTCAAATATCTAAGTCATTTTATGAAGTTATATTTAAGGATTACTATTTAAGAGCATTACTATGACTGAAATTTCGATTTCCTTTTAATTGTATATATTACATTAATGGATAGCATTGATTCGCTTGTATTATTTGCGAGACATGGCTTTTAGCATCAGCTTATCGCCCGTCTTTATCGTGCTTGTGCGTGCACCGCGTTTCCCATTTCACTTGCGATTTTGTATAGCTCATATATATATATATATATCCACCTGATGTTCATTAAAACTTGATAAAACCGTGGAACCAAGCGTATATAACACCAAATAATATATTGCCAAACGTGTTTCTCTGTAAACATCGCTTGAGAGTGCAAAGTAGCTCGTGGGAGAAAGATAGAAATAAACCTGACACATATCTATGTGTTTGTCTATCAATGCATGCTTGTGCTTGTGCGTGTCAGAGACCTTTGATAATGAGAAAGGTCCACAGCTGGGTAGTGCTCTTAAGTTTATCAGTGTGTAGATACACACGTGGCCGAACGTGGCCAACGAATGCACGCAGCGTCGTGCTCACGACGACTTCCTTCCTTTCCAGAGTCTCAGCGGCCAGCTAGTAAAAGAAGAAAGCGGAAGGGCAGTACATCCGGACCGGGCAACAATGCACCTCCTGCGCCCAGCAAGAAACGTTCACCAGGGCCAAATTTTTCTCTAGCATCGCAGGTAAATTTTTCGATTTGTTTTCTCAATGAAGCAGCACAACGTCGATCGTGCAACGTCGTCAAGAAGCAGGCGTTGACTAAATGTTTTTTTTACTTTCATGTAGGATGTGATGGTCGTGGGTGAGCCTTCTTTGATGGGCGGTGAATTTGGGGATGAGGACGAACGATTAATTACAAGGTTGGAAAATACGCAGTACGATGCCGCAAATAATCTGGATCCTCATAGTCATGATGCATCCGGTGGACCACCGCCACACCCTCATCAGTTCCACTCGGAACCAACACCGGGTAATTCTTGGCCACCAGATCGTGGCCCTGGTCCACCACAGGGAGGTCCTGGTAGTCAGGTAATCATTTTTCTACAGCAGAACAAAAATTTTAGATTAAAAAATGTGCCTGCGCGCACATAATTTATTTGAAGAACTCTAGATATGCAACAAGTCCAAAATTTTGAATTACTTGAACTAATTTGTGAAAATAACTGATATCAGATATTGAAACTATTACTTGAGTTCTGAATTTGGAGAGTGATGTCATTATTCGGTTGATACTAACTCGGAAAATACTAAAGATACTCGACTCAACAGAAGATTAAAGAAAAGAAAAATAAAGTTTAAGGAAAAGGTATTGACTTTATAATACTATTCAGAGAGCGTCATAAATAATGTGTGATTCTAATGTTATGTCTTGCATGTGTGTGTGTGTATGTACTACTTCAGGGAGTCCAAGGTGGTCAAGCGGGTGCGGCTGCAGGTGTACAGGGAACGCAGGACGCCAGTCAACAGCAGCAAGACAAGAAGAGCCCCGCGGTGAGCCAGTGAGGCCAGGAGTCCCCGCGCCCCCCCACCAGGGGGCGACGGGGGCGCAGGCCCAAGAACGTGGCTCCCTAGCGGGGCGAGAATCCTAGCCTCCCCACTGCCGCCGCCTATTTGGCCTCCGCAGCTGGCTCCATGACTGGCAGGTTGTCGTCGCACGTCGGCATGCTTCCGACGCTGGCCTGTCAACCCGGCTTGCCAGCAGCAGCAGCAGCAGCAGCAGCAGCAGCACCAGGCCACCATCATCCGGAGCAGCATCCGCAGTTGGGTCACGTGGCCGCCGCCGCCGCCGCCGCCGCCGCTGCCGCCGCCTCGATGGGCATGGAGTCCTCGGAACTGATGGCGGTGGCTCATTACCAGGCGCAACAACTGCAACGGCAGTTGTTGGCCGAGCAGTCAGGTCCGGGCACCACTATGCTGCCGCCTACGTCTGCTCAGCCTACTGGTGGAGGCTTGATGCAGCCGCAGGGACTCCAAGGGCAGCAGCCGGGCCAGCTTCAGCCGGGCCAGGACCCGCTACAGAGCTTGGTGCAGCAATTACTCTGTCTACAACAGATAGAGTATTTCCTCGCGCAGCGCGGTCACAAATGATTACACTTAATCATAACCATAATAGGGATTGTTTCGTGCGGGAGAATGAGAGGATCGGACCAGATAACAACGTTTGGGACTCGATGCGAGCGGGAAAACGTGTTTGTGCCGGTGCAAAAGTGTTCTGATTCGCCGATAGGTAAATTTCGCGCCAAATCATTGTACAACCCGCTGACGCTGTTAATGCTGCGATGCTGTTGAGAATGAAGACGAGGACGGATAATATGCCGCGGCGGCATCTGTTCGAGTTTGTATGATTTTTCTAATTCTCGAACGGAGGGGAGGTAGCGCGGTGTCTCCGAATTCACCACGACGTTATACGGGAAGATTGCGGAGAAACTGAATGACGGAAGCGGCAGAAGAAAGGAGAAGAAGAAGAGCGGCAGTTGCACCCGTTTATTCGTGGATCGCTCTATCGCTTCGAGGCACTGTGCGGACGGACGGCTATCTCCAAAATCAAGGAGATCAAGTGTTTTTAGCGTGTGATAAAAACTTTATGTCAAAAATTATATTAAATATGTGAAAGGTAGAACGATGTGAAGGAAGTAAAGAATCATTTACGGATGAAGAAGTAAGAAAAAGGAATGTTAATGCCACGCGCGTCAGAGACGATTGTCCGCTCTGATGCGACCTGTGAATGAATCTCTATCCGTCAACAGTATTGATATAATTAATAGAGTAAATGAATATATATAAAATATTGTAAGAACTATATCGTAAGTACGTATTTGTGCAAACGTCAGTGTGCAAGTTAAATAGAATGAATGGTGTGACAGTAGTTCGGGGTATATGAAAGAGAGAGAGAGAGAGAGAGAGAGAGAGAGAGAGAGAGAGAGAGAGAAAGAAAATAAATGTGAGAGGATATGAGTGAGTAAAACTGGAAACAGAAAAAGAGTGAGGAAGAAAAAGCGATAGAGTCACCTTCGACTCAAAGATTTTTAAGCGCGGGAACCGACCGAATGTCAATGCATAGCCTCGTTGATTGTTCCGAGGACTCGTAGAATTTTATCCTTTATTACTACTATACATAATAATTATTTGACGAACCACGAAAAGCGTAAGAATATTTTGCACACTAAATATATAAGAAAGACTTCGTTCCAAAGGTTCAACATGGTTGGTATATATAACATAAGTGTAAAAGCTTTCTCAAAACCGAGACAAGACACGGAATCAATTCCCACGGTGCAGGAAAAAAATTGTCAAAGCATTTTTAACATTCGTGTAAACAAGCCTCGTGTTTTATGTTTAGAATACATTACGGTACGACACGTAGCACAGCACGTACCCACGTCTCACGAATTATATATGTGAGTTCTAACTTTTATATCTATGTGAATACTTTACGTTCACTAATCTAATTGTGTTTTGATCTTCTAAGAGAGATTCTTTTCAACGAAAATATTAGGATCTTATTCATTTTATTCGATACATAAGTTATGCGCGTGGTGATTCGATATTTCATACAATGTATTGTCAGATGAAAGTACATAAATGCACACACGCGAACACGTAATATATATATATAT